AGAATTATCTTAAACTACAACAAAATGCTTTGAATCACTAGAATTCTTTTTGTACTAGTTTCGATAGAAATGCAAAAATTTTCACTATTATCTCTGTTAATGGAATTCAAAGAAGCAGATGCTTTTTCTGATAAAAATCAATCTGATATTAATGTGGAAACCAAATGGCTCGTATCGAGAAGCTCAATCATTAGTTTCTTATACATGTTAATCGTTTGGTTCGCATCATATTCCAATGAACAACTGTCCTGTCCAACTTCAAGACGCATTAACCAAACTTTTCCTTACGATCAGGACTGCAAAATATATCTTACTTGAATTTGAGTTTCAAATCAAAATTTGGAACTAATGGTAAGATTGAATGTAAACATGTTTTTTTATAGAGTATGCTTTAGCTCTTAACGAAAAAAATATACTTGGAAGAATCCTTGTAAACAAACAAGACTTTACCTTATTGGTGATTTTGGTGGTATTTTGGTGAAGCGGAAAATCATAGCGAACTTCACCTAAGATTGAACTAACAAGGCAATTTAAATCTTTTAAACAGGTCATCCTGCTTGGACATTGCATACATTTTGTATAAAATGATATGATAAGATAAGAATATTAAGGCTTGAAGTAGCTGGACTCAAACTTTATCAATATTATATATTCGATTTTTCCCACAACTTGTAAACATAAGTAATCTTTTAAACTGAGAGTAATTCAAAAGCGGAGCCTTCTGTTTTGAATCTACTTTTCTTCACTTGGGGCATCGGAGTTCTAGTTTCCCTAACAGAATTTACCCATGGTCCTGTTTAAGAATAATTCCCAAATACATTTGAGATAAAAATTTTCATGAGTCTAGCCCCAGTAAAGTAAAAAAATTCTTGCAAAACAGTTGTCTTGCAAGAACTATCCAGTCTATCATCCGACTGGCTTTGCTTTTGTTGTTAAAAATCATCAAAAAATCTACTTCAAAAAACAATCGCGTAAGCAACATGGGTCTCGTAAGCATTTCGCGAGTTATTTACATATCTCTTAACTAATGTTTGTTGAGTAAATATTTCTTAATTCCTTGACATTACATCCTTGTTAATTTTGATAAGCAAAAGCCCTTGTTGAAAATAGAAAATTTGATTTAAAACATGGTAACTTAAACGACAGAAAAAGTAAAGGCTCATTTTTGTGTGAAGAACTGTATTTAAACAAACAAGAATACTCGAGTCTTTCAGTTGTTTTATAGCAAAAGTGGGGTGGGATGGGTGCCAAAGGGAGCAGTGCCCCCCTCCCACGATTTTTTCCAGAGACATCCTTATCAAATCAAAAGGCTTGCCCTCCAATTTTCGACCGGATGTCTGTCACTATCTTGTAGTTTTATAACGTTTCAAGTTACTTTGGTTGTGTAAATTTAATTTTTTCGTAGAATTTGTGCAAAAAAACAAGCAGAAACGAGTCCTTTACGGAGGATTTCATGGCATAAAAGGTGATACAATAAGGTGCATATGTAATGCTGTTAACATTCAACTTAATTTTTCAAATATTTGAAATATATCAATATATTTGCAGTTAACTCAAGTTTGAAAAATACATTGCAATGTATGTGACAAGATTTCCGGGGAAATTAGGGTTTTCAATGATCACAAGGGATTTTTTACAAACACTTAACATCTTCAACCCCCTACCTCTGTAAGTAGTCGTACGTCTTTGGCGACCCCATATGCAAAGTTTTAACGCAGTGAAACAAGGCTTTTGGCAAACATTGTAGTTTTACTGAAGAAACTTTTAGAAGAACTTGAAACTTTGCATCTCGGCTTCATCTCGCTTTTTATTAATTTTCAGATAATTTAATATTAGGGAAAGTATTATTACAGGGGTTGTAAAATGAAAAATGCTTACTTTGTATTATATCATCTTTCCATGGAAAGTATATTGAAGACTAGTTTTTTGTGAATAAATATAAAGTAGATGGAAGAAAAATGAAACTAAACTACAAGGCTGCCGGGCGCAGGCTCGAACAGGGTGGCGGAAGGAGCAATGGGAAGAAAAAGGGCACAAACATCTAGTCTTTCCATACACATTGGTTATTGAAAAAATGATATAGCTTTCATGGTAATTTAGACATTTTGAAAAAAATTACACACTGCACGTAGAGGGTAGACATGGCTCTGTGCTCCATTCTGGGGTCATGCACTCTTGGGGACAGTGGCGTAGCGTCCGGGTATTCAAGGTATTCAGTGAATACCCTGAGATTTCTCAGAAAATATATTAATACGACGTATACTTGTAATAACTAAAAGATGTTTATGGCCTATTGATTCTGGTTGAATTCGTTACCTTCGATATTCTACATTTTGTACAAGTACAAAATATCACGAAATTAGTTTGAAACAATAACGCTGCGACGCATAGAGAAGCTGGGAGATCTTTGAAGCTAATTTTGAAGATTGAGTTACTTCATGTTGAATGGAGATCGGTCATGAATACGCAGTGAATACCCTAGTAGGTACTTTAACCAATCAAAATGCTCCTTTCCATGAATAATATTTGCCGTTAATCAGCTAAAACAATGGTCTTGTACGCTGAGAAATATGCAGCGTACAGCCTCAAAGTTGGTTCAAAAAAGTCTCGTTTTGAGATCGATATAAACAGTTAATGGACGTCGGAGCTGTTGGAGTGGTGGATCTTCATCGAAAACAGTAAACATGACTTCATTCAAAGCTATTGCAGAGTCCGTATTACTGTTTAATAATCATTCTCTCATTTGACCCCTAATCTTAACCTACCAACAGCAAAGTGGAAAAGAAAGGTAGGCTTCTATATAATGCTACACTGAACTGACTCAGATCTGTGCCTCTTGAAATGCCAATTTTGTTATTGCTTGTCAATCAGGGATGCTTCTCTTTGTATTATGTGATAGAATTTAAGTAAATGCAGATAGGCCTGGATAATATCCTATTATTCGAGCCCATTTATTTGCTTTATTGTGCAGTCTCTCGTCTCATTACCTTCGATTCTTTCAATCATTGACTTGTATTGAAAATATCACGATTAAGCCATGAAGAAGTCTAGACTGCATCCACTGCATAACACAAACTATTTATAACTCGTGTAATGCCCTATGTGAATAACTTTCGAAAGCCCTTTTGTATTAAGGTATCAAGAGAAGGTGTTTACAGTTACTTCCTCTTTACATCAGTGCAAATTTTAGCGGATTTAACAACAACAAAATTTTACTGACTTTCAATGATACGTTTTGATTTGAATTACTTTTGATGAAATGGTTAGTGGTATTTTGATGCAATGAATAAGTTCGAAGAGTATATTTGCGTTGGGTTCTTTAGCAAAGTATCGTTTTCATCATAGTAATGCCCTGACAGTGCAGTACTTGCCAAGCAAACCAGAAAGAAAATTAGATAAATTGTCAATAGCTAGTCCTTTCAATCTTCCTATTATCCCTCCTATTTCCATCAAGCCCCATCAAGCCACACCCTGTCCCACCCTTTTGATTAATAGAGAATACCCAGTTGAAAAAGTCACGCTACGCCACTGCTTGGGGATACTTAATTTTTTGCTTGTATAAATCTCCCGTCTATGTATGATTCATATACTCTTTTTTTCAAGCAAATTTTCAGTCTTTATCCCTTTCGAAACAAAATTCAATTTTTACAAAGCAAATTTTCAGTCTCTATCTCTTTCAAAGCAAATTTTCAGTCTTTATCCCTTTCAAAACAATTTTCAGTCTTTACGAAGCAAACTTTCAGTCTCTACCTCTTTAAAAAGCAAATTTTCAGTTTTTATTCCTTTCAAAACAAATTTTCAGTATTTACAAACAAAGCAAATTTTCAGTCTCTATCCCTTTGAAAAGCTAATTTTCAGTCTTTATCCCTTCAAAACAAATTTTCAGTCTTTGCAAAGCCAAGTTTCAGTCTCTACCTCTTTCAAAGCGAATTTTCAGTCTTAACCTATTTCAAAGCAAGTTCTTAGTCTATCTCTTCTAAATTTAGCCAGACACAAAATAAACAGCTAAACTGTTTTCTCCAGAACAATTGAATTTCCGATATTTCATACACTGCGCAGTAGTACGCTGGTCGACCTACCTAACCGGCTGAGAAACACCTAACGACATACTGAGGAGACGTTTCCCGCCAAAAGACAGTCTCTTTCGCAGTATATGTTGATAGAAATTGAGAATCACGGGGGTTTGCGCTTTCTGCAGCAACGCCTAGATTTTGATTGTTTTACTTAGCATCTAAAGGCAAAATATCTGGCAATGAAAATGGTAGATAATTTTTACACTTTTTCTAGTCAGGGAGGGCCAGTACCCCAGTGCCTCCCTCTGGCTCCGGCGGCCCTGAACTATATCTTTTGATTAAGAGGACCTTCTACCAAAGCACATTTACATATTTCTTAGCCAATAACGCCCTTTTACACTCACAATATGAAACCCTCTTCCTAGTAGCATTGAGAAAACAAAAGAGATTTAGTGCCGAATGCCGAGATAAAGCAAAGTCGTTTCCCGGAAAATGGGCGTGGCATCAGAAATTTTTGCGCTTGCTTTCCATAAACAACGCTACGGCACTGCACCTAGGCTCATGGAGAACGGAGGAGCAGCGCTTCGAATAAGACTATGAATCCGTGCGGCAAGACTGACTCTTTGTACGGCGGCCGTTTCGCAGATTTGTGCTTATGCACAAATTCAATTATTGAGTTTTCAATGCCTCACACTGCTATTTATTGGTTTGCCATTTACGTAAAATAAATGTTATCAACTTGTCTATATTTACCAAGTCAAAAGATCGTGATGTACTTTTGTTTATTTTTATTGTCAGGGTAACATAATGAAATAATCGACAAAAGTAGATAGTTATTTCCTAAAAGCTTAAAATCGAACATCGCGTGCATGACTTTGCAGAAATCTGTCTTACCTTGAATGTAATCTCTTCAGGTTCACCTATCAACTTTTTTTAACAAAGGTGTAACCTCGAGATGGCAATGAAGTCAATAAATTTTCACTTAGATGTATTAGATAAATGAATATCCATGTATTATGTAATAAGCCTTCTGGTCTACCAATGTAACATGACAAACGACACAGATAAGAAACATGACAAGACTGCTTCACTATCATACCTGATTTTAAGACATACCGTACATCATTCCATAGGGGCTTATTCGAGGTTGGGGGCTTTTTTCATATAAATGTTTTTATGTTAAGGGTGTATTCGAGGGGAGAAAGTTTATTCAAAGTGTGGGCTTATTCGAGGATTTACGGTATTATAAGAAAATCGAGCTGTCTCTTCTAAATGTTAACAAAGTTCTCATTTGACTCTCGCTACAACTTTTTAAATCTTCTAACTTCTTTTATAATGAACTTGTTGCATGTCTTATCGCTGCAAAATTTGGTAACTGCACATTGCCTCTCAAGTACTGCATCAATTTGCTACAACTGTCAAAAGTTTGTATTGAAAAATTTTTTTTTTCAAGTTGATGATAGATTTAACAACAGCATAGCTTTAATTCATTTTGTTTACTTAGGAAGAAAGACTTGTTGATTACGGAAAAGTCCGATCTTACTTTTATAAACTCCTGATTCTACCTAACATTTGTCAAGGAGAGCCTGCCGAGTCTTAAAGAGACAATTTAATCTACATTTTGGTAGTATTTTCTAAGCCCTAAAATGTTATACAATAACTAATATTTGTTCAAGGTTTCTACATTCAAATCCGAGGCAAGTAAACATTTGTTGCAGCTTTCAAGATTTCATTGAGTCGCTGCTAATAATAGCAAGCTTCTTATCTATCTAAGATTTATGCCTTAACGCTTCAGATGAAAAATGATTCATTTCAATCTTGCTACAAATACATTACAAAATCAGAGGAAGCACTTGATGAATTGGCAAAGGTGGGCATTCGCTTTTCTTAACGACTGTTGTAGAGATCAAGCTTCAAACATTCTCGCCTCGCCGTTATACAATATGCCCAGTAGTGTAGAGCCAAAAAAGAGGGTTGGCGGCTGTACTTTCCTCCACAGAGGCTATTTGGGAGGGAGAAATGGTGAAGCTGCGGGAGGGAAAAATTGTGAAGCTGCGGAGAATTGGAGGGGGTGGAGAAGAAGAAGAAAAGAAAATTCTGCCGCTATTTTCTTCCTCCCTCTCCCTCGCAGTTCCTCCACTTTTCCCTTTCCTTCCCAGTTCCAATTATCCTATTCTTTTTCCCTCCCAAATCTCCCTCCAAAATAGTCTCTGCGGAGGAGAGTAGGGTGGCTGTGTGGCTTTCCCTATATTGTATACAAAATTAACGTCTCAGTTGTTTTCGTTTGCATGGCTCCTCAATATCAATTTCTTCACCTTTTCATTTTTTCTAGGGGTAAATCATTTTTCAATGTCTAATTGCCACTTGAGTAGAAAAATCTTAAAACAAAGAACTTAAAGTAGCAAAATTTCGAGTTTATGGCATTTATTGAATTTTCAGTTATCAAAAGGTCACACATGAATACAAATGTCAAAAAGCAGTATCGGTTCCATTATTTGATCCTGGCAGAAATTAGCCATGATATTTTAGAATTACCCAGAAAAAAGAGGAGGGGCGCAGACCTATAATTAACAACAAACTGGTTTAGGTGGCCTAAAATATCAAATTTAACAGTTAGTTTTACGTTAAAAGAACTCACGTTTGTCAGCAGTGATCTACCTTTGAGACGCTTTAGTACGGCTGCTAACCGCAAATTCCTTAATCAACTTTTGAGCGACTAGAGGTTTCATATAGAATGAAAGGTCAAAAAAGCTAGTTACGAATAGGTAATTAATTAGCTTTCAAATTCATAAGACAGATACTTTGAAATGTTTCAAGGATAAGCCTGCTTGGTAAATACAGGAGAATTGTCTGCAGAACTAAATCGGAGATTTTCCGCTAATTGCAAAACCCAGTGTGTTGCGAGCAAGAGCGATTGGAATCATAGCTCACTACGCCTTTCTAACATCAGCGTCGCAAAAGTTGATGGTCAATCGTGGATGTGGAGAATCTAGAGCAAACACGAACCCCATTGGCTAAGAACAATGCAATGGTTAACCAAAACAGCTGATAACAAAAATAAACTGCGATAGTTTGTTGATTATCACTACGGGGCAGAGAAATATCCCGACACCATGTTGTGGCTTACATTTGTTATCATTGCAAAGCTATTAAAAATAAGTCTGCAGAAGGCCTTGCACACATTTGAAAGAGAAAGTATTTCAGCAATTCTGGCAAGAAAAGTCGCACAGTTGTTATTAGAATTTAGCTGTTCGGTTATTCGAAGTTAAGGAAGTGGATTGCAGGCAGATTGTGGCTTAAGAACATTGACGGATTACCCAAGCTGCATCACAATACTGAGCGGAGCATATAATTATCGAAAGCAAATATGCAGATGACATTAATGCCAAGGCTTTTATCTTGTGTAGATATTTGAAATTCATCTTTTTATGCGAAAATCGTTGTTCTGGTGGAGAAAAGCCCACAGCATCCTCGGCGATCGACGTAGCTTCAAATTCATTACATTGAGGTCTCCTTCAGTGCAAGGATCGATACGGATTCAGAGAACAAATGCAACGGTTGGACAGTCATTTTGATTTAGAATGTCAGAACAGAATGGCATGTCAATGCACAGTATTTTCCAGCGAAAAGACTCTACAGCTAATCAAGCAGATGTCAGCTTGTCAAATCATGAGGACACAGGCCCCTTGCGATCTCCAATATGGAAGCCGAAGTCACCCGAGTTACGAAGACGAAAGTATAGTCTTGCTTCTGTTATGCGCAAACTCGAAAAGAAGTCAGACGAAAACAAGGAAGAGCTAAAGGAAAGAAAACTGCAGAAACGCGAATCAGCCAACAATAACAAACATTTGAAACGGGGGATTTTTAATCTGCGCTCTAGACAAAACAACAATAATAACAACAAGAATATAACTGAAGAAGTTTGCAACGAAAACGTTGTTTCCTTTATACCACCCATACCAAGTGAACTGGGATATAATGATTTGGTGATCGAGGAGGTTGAAAAGCCGCGATCAGGCTCATAATACACGCGTCTGAGAACATTCTGCTGAGTGATGTGCAGCGGCCACGAAGTCCTCGGTTTCAAAGGAATTCCGGACGCCAGAAAAATCAGGTAAAATCTAATTCTGAGCCTCCAAGCCCAAACCCAACTCAAGCGAACCGCTATAATCTATCGCCTGGCCGCCACCCCCGAAGATTTCGTTTCGACTCTGGTTATGAAGATAATGGGGATAAATCATCCAGAGATACCTTATCGCCACCGTCACCGCGTTCGCCGAGCATCAATTTAACCAACGCGGACATTCGCGCGTTAGCGTATACGGAGTTAGGGAGGGTGCTTCAAGGCAAACTATTTCATTCAAAACATGTTGCTAGGTGGTCAAAACGAATTACTGAAGGTCTAGTGCTCAAAATTAGAAGACTGACTGGTAACCAGAAGAAGGTCATCGCAACTGTGTTTATTGGAGAGAAATTCCCCGGAACTGTCGAAGTTTTCGTATCATCGCCACGCATAACGGAACAAGATAATTTCCAAACTGTATCTATACAAATTAATGATATTTTTGCATGGGTATCAGTTATCTGTACGAATGCATAAACGTATTGCAAAGGCAATATTCATTGACGTCATCAGTATAGTGCTTTATGGATGATACCAACTAGGCAGTTATATTCCGGCACACGCATGCAATGTTTAGCACCCACAATGCCACGAGAATTAAAAACAAGCATCAGAAGAACTTTAGGCTTGGCAGAGAAGCGGATAACTAATGGAACAACAAATAGTTTCCAAGCAAACAAATATGCCGCGCTGCTATATGATCGGCTCAATTTCAGCACATAGAGAAACTTAAATGAGAATTTGAGTAATCAATTAACGTAATCCATGTTACTAAGGAAAATCATACTTGGAAATATGGTGTCTTATACTAAACAAGATCAAGAAAATTTTGATTTTCTAAGAAATTTTCTATCAGAGAATAATATTGGATGGAGGGAAAAAGAATATCTTACAATCAATAGTTAAACCACGTGTGTTTGGACGAGCCTCTTCTTACTTTAGGCTTACTATGTCAGGGACTGAAGTACTTCACCAGAACAAAAATGAATTGGGCTTTTAGATGCAATTTATATATCGTATAAATTGCCGAAAGCATGAAATCTTCGCAATAGATACTTGAAAAACGTTTCCTTTTGAAGTTTTAAATCTTGATATTACTAGAAAGTATATTAGGAATTCAAGATATTACATTGGAAGCTCTTTTTAGCATAGGAGGCCAAATAACATTTTACAATCGAGCCGATCATTCTGCAGAAGAACTTTAAACAATGTACCACAAGACTCCTTTTTGAGTCTTTTTCCTTTCAAATTTATATAACCTTCATCACTGAGGCAAAAAATCTGAGACGGCAATTAATGACAAAAAATTTAAAAAAAATACTCAATAGTGTGAGCGAAACGTTCCTGGACAGCTTTACCTCGATCCAAGAAAAAATTAAAGGGCGTTCGAGTCAACATGCATCTGAATTGTGTTATTCTTTATATAAATTTTAATGTGTTAATCATTTCCTTTGCAGCAATAGAGAGATAAAAGCTTCTAATGTTTTAAAAACATTGACAATAGCATAAATCATTTTAATCAATTAAGCTGCTAGTTTCAAGCAGATTGTGCAGCAGCTTACTTGGACTGCTTAGCTGCCTTGAGCAAAGCTTTTGCAAGCGGATCTGAGGAGCTGATTTGCCAAGACATGCATCTGACACTGCCACCCATATGCGAAAGTCTTGATGTATCCACTGTGACGACACGCCTGTGTGTGTTCTTTTGCACAATGTCAAGGGCTATCTGGTCGTTATCCGCCTTGTTGAATTGAGGAACGTACACAGTGCTATCTGTGAGCAGGCTATTAACATAAGACCCTACAGAGGATGAAAACCCTCGCCAATTAGGACTCTTTGTTGGTTTTGATTTTCCATCATCCATGCAAGGTACCTTGACTATTGTAAGATCTGGGAAAATCTCCTCCACTGCTTCTTTCACCAATTTATAATACTTTGCATCGCAGTAGTCACCAATGGCCAAAACATTCGTGTCAATGAACGAAACTACTCCATCTGCGTGGCCTGTTGTGTCACGTGGGTCTGGGATGATAGCTACTGTCATGTCCAAAGCAGCCTCAACCTCCTTCCTTAAAACCTTGAAGACAGAAACTCAGTCAGCAAATAACGAACTTGTCTTTTAAGGGTCCAATGTAAAATTAAGGTGAAACCACTTAAAGGTATTTAAAGATATCTATCATGATTTTGTAAAAAAATAAGATGAAAAAATGAATATAAGCAAAACAATTTTCATTTAGAAAATTTCCATAAAAGGGAAAAACAGTATTAAAAAAAGAAACTGGAAATTGCATCGGTTATCAAAATAGGGACACGATACGGCAAAGTATTTTAAACCCAGGGGCGTCGTGGCTCCTAGAAAAGGGCCGAGAGAAAATTAACATAAGGGGGCCCGCTCTTTTGTTTGGACATCTCCAACCACAAGTCGCCAAAAATGGTACATATGTACCTGGAAACCATGCAGCTATGAAAAATTAAAAAGATGGCAATTTTTTTAATTTCTAAAGGTTCATTTTCTATATTTGTTTGAGGTGTGTCCCCTTTTCTCTAACCATAGTCTCCTTAAGACTGTTAAAAATGTGGAACAAATGCAATGCTGTAGTGCACACTTGATACAAACATAAACGCGAAAGAGAACCTACGTGCACTTCGAGCGAAGCGAGCAGACAATTTATGCGGCCACGCCCTTTAAATTAGCTTGAAATACATGTCAGAAGGTTTTTGCAGTCGTTTACCACGTTTTACAACGTTTTAGGCATACTTTGTTGCGTTTGGTTAAAATTAATTCCTTAAATTGAAAATCCTTGCTTTAAGAGGCCCCATAGAACTCGAGGCCCTGGGGCGGTTTGCCCCTCCTTGTCCCCTCTCGGTGGCCCTGTTCATATTCCACGTATCACTTTCATAGGGGCCCACCGGGAAATTTCCCGGTGTCCCGCCTAGCCACAACGTCCCTGCTTAAACCATATTCAAAGTTAACCTGATCTTGATTCACAATATACCCATCAAATAAAAATTCATTACAAATGGAATTATTTATGAGGTGTGAGATTTTAAGATGTTTCAGTCTTTTCCCTATTTTAACCGAAACAATCTATATCCAACTATTTATAAAAAAGTATTTGAGTATATAACATTATTTTAATTGATGTGGGTAAACTTGTTTGAGTTATGGAGGAAAATATTTTTTCAGCGAAGCAATTATATTTTATTAGTAGTAATGAATGTGTCCCCAATTAGTATAGTGTGCTAAATACAAAGTCACTGCAATAAATTAATAATAATAATAATAATAACAATAAATAATAATCAAAAAAGTAAAGTACGATATACTCTATACTTACATCCCTGATATGCTGATATATATAAATATTCTAACGTGAAATACCTTGCTAGAAATTAAGCATATAGTCCCAAACGGGGGAAATGGAAATGGAAAATGGAAACAAGGCATAACTGCTGGAGCACCTGATCAAATACCTTGAGAAATTAAAACATGTTCTAAGTAAAATATTCTACACATGTTTAAAGATGGTGCATAAAAACTGCCGCTAAATCTTAAAAACATACCGTTTCGTCCTGTTTTGGATTATCATAGTAGAATCTATCTGTAATTATGGCTTTATCCACACCATTGTCAACGACATTTCCACCGTCTAAAATGAGCCTGCTCTCCTTAGGAAATCCCCCGTACCGTGACAGCAATTTTCTGAACGAGTTGTCAACATAGCGTGCATCAGACCGACTAAGGTAATCAGACCCATAAATAAACTTGACTGGCTTGTATGGCGAAACAAGTCCGAAATCCCTCATCCAGAGATCGATTGACTCATCAACTGGCAGCACATATGCATCACCAAAATCAAAGCCACCATATGATCCATCGCTAGACATGAACTTTGACGGAAACAGTACCAAAACGTCGTCTTTATCAGAAGCAGCTGCTGCCAAATCTTTTACGAATTGCGCAATGTCGTCACGGCTCTTCTTGTAATATTTGTCTTCTGGAAGTGACACTACAATGAGCTGCTTCTCGGCTGCCATTTCAAGGACTACAAAACATGATATTAGGGCGAAGCAGATCAGAATTTGCAAAGGCTGAAACATGGTAGCTGCAACTGGCGTTGTATCAACAGGAAACAGGAATTGCGGCTATCATTCAAGATACACTCGTGGGAAGTCCTGCTGAGATGGTCATCACACTTATATTGGGTTGGGTTACAATGTGTTACCTAGTCAACAAATGTTGCTCGTAACTATTGCCTATAGCTCGAAAAAGATTTATTCAGGGTCCAATATGCCAAGGGAAAATTTCTACCCTAAAATATGCTTTTGTCGTATACCAACGTGCCTGTTTGAAAAGCTGCAGCTTCGGCATAAAGGTAAATTAAAAACGAGTTAGTAATAACAACTTGTCTTGAAACGTGCTCACCGGCCAATGCAGCCAATCTATATCAAAACCTTTCTAAAAACGATGGAGTTAGGGGGTAGTTCTTGAATTTATTTGATATCTCTCAATGACCCCCGATGCTTATCAAAATTGTCAAAAAATAACGTCCCTATCGTCGAGCAAAGACATGCACAACACGTTTTACATCTCATATAAAAATAACACCTAAGTGAAAACCATTCAAAAACAGACCGAAAGAGAGGATAGGAAAAATATGACCTACTTTCTTGGATGTCCTTTTTTCTAGGGATAGGAAAAACTTTGTATGTAATACTTTAACTGAATTACGATCATTTTTAAATATCAGAATCACAAGGCAGCATACGTCAGGTATAAGGGTGTAGTTTATGAAAACACGGTATTGTTTCCAGGGCCTAAACTGGTGGGGCCAACAATGTAAAGGGCAGTTACAAAATAGGGGTAATTTGAATACTCTGTTACAGGGGCGTCGCGACCGGGGGTGTGGGGGGGGGTGTCACATCCCCCAATAGTATCTCAATAGGAATTTTCAGGTAAAATCCGCTCGGTTGAAGAAACACTTGAGGTATTTTGGAGATCTTCATGTCATAAAAAACAATTAAGGGTCAAGCAAAGGTAGTTGCTCCGTTGGTTAAATATGATATTCCTTGATATGAATGAAGGTAAACAAACTAATGATTTGAATATTTGAAGATTTCTTCTTGGCACTAAATCGAAAAATCCAGGCCCTATTTAGGTAAAATTGTGTCGTTTGTCCATTTCCCCTAAAGTTTCTCGGTAGAAGCGTCAACTGCAATTCACTAAGAGCTCCAGATTTTTTTAACATTCAAAAGGCATGCTAAGATGGAAAGAGGGATCTAAATTGACAACCAGTGCTGCTTGTTACCTAGCTTCAGAAGTAACTAACAACATGGTATTTATCAAGACCACGGCGAAATTGTACCAATTGTTTTCATCTGCTGTTCAATTTGTTTGCAAAAAAAATTATTTTCAATAGGAGTAAGAGGGTTGCTTTAGTGAAATTTGCTTAAAATAGTGCATTTTCCAGGGAACTAGAAGCATCAAAATTCGAAAATTTGCTCCTCCTTCGGCGGCAACCATGGTGCTGCCTCGGGCAGTAACTACATCCTTTGCCCGTTCCGATATAAAGACTTGACAAAACTACTAGGAATATTCCGTTATTATATACAGAGTTAGATTGACAAAATACATTGCAAAGGTTTGTGACAGCAACTAAAGGATTTCAGGCAAAATTTTTTTAATCAGGTAAATTTGTAGTCCACACCCCCCCCCACAACAAGGCTTGCCTCGCGACGGCCCTGCTCTGTTATCGGATAAAACAAAACTTTGCAGCATGAAACACCAAGCAAACCCGAAGAGCGAAAACTTTAGCACAACATGAAAAACCCTAAAGGGATATAGGGTCGTTAACAATTAATGATAACGCACTGTTTTATTTTAGACATGCAACGACTTCCCTTTTTTATTACTTTAAATGCCCGCGTTAGAAGTAGATGAGTAATGTAGCAGGGCATAAAGAGATTTTTGGTACAATGTCGTATGCATCCCGAAAAGACTGTGTACACTCTTTTTTATAAGAACCAGTAAATTTAAGTTCCGTGCTGACTGTTCTTAACTTTTTCGAAAATCTGAGGCTGGATTGTTCTTAATTTGTTCTTAAACTAAGAGGGTGTAAGCAGTGCTATTGCTAGCTTTTTCGCTCTAGGGTGGTGTTCAGCCCTCATTTGCCAACAAAGTGAGTGAAACAGCCTTAATTTGCTGACAAATTTGAATAGTCACCGAAAAAGCACCCACAAATTGCAAAAAATCCTCGATTTTGAGAAAAAAAGTTGTTCAAAATTGCATTTTGCAGAATCTCAGCCTCAGCTTGTTCTTAATTTGTTCTTAATTTTTGACCAGTTTTGAGGCTCGTGTTCTTATAAAATTGTTCTTATAAAAAAGAGTGTACCTGCGGACAAGTATCAGGTACAAAAATTTCGAACCATAGACTTCCGAAGTGTGACGTCATCAAAGTTCCAAATTTAGAATTTAATTATTTTGACCATATAATCTGAAATAATATCATAAAATACCTATCAGTATGCAAAATCGCTTAGACATGTTCAAAATTGGGTTTGATATGGCCAAAGAATGACATGACCAAACATGGATTACTGTTATTCTGACCTACTCCATCAAGTTGTGCACCAAGACCGAACAACAGTGATTTGGTGGGAAAAGGACCTGTGTTGCCATATCTAAAGCAATTTGCAATACAAGCAACTGATTTTGCACATTCAGATGTATTTCAAAGTAATTTTTTGGGTTATATAGTCAAAATAGAAATTTTTTAAAAATAGTCAATAAAACTACCTTTAAGCATGGCAAATTTTGAAAATACCGTATTTGACATCAAAATTTTGCAAGCTTATATGTTTTCCCAGTGGATAAAATTTGGAGATTTAAACCGGAAAAATATTTGATGAGCTTTAGTTTCATCAAAACTAAAGCAAAAACATTTCATAACCAAAAATCCTTTTGCGGTCTTAGGGTCTTGTTTTTTCCAGGATGGCTATGTTTCTGGAAGCTATGTGGCGAGAAGCTGTCAATTTTTTACAGTTTGCAAGTTGCTAAAAGGTACGCGGAGTGGAAAAATACGCGGAGTGGAAAAATACGCGGAGTGGAAAAATACGCGGAGTGGAAAAATACGCGGAGTGGTAAAATACGCGGAGTTTTTCTCCAGATAATTGTTTTTATCTCCGTTATTTCGTTTGATTGTATTGATCGTTATATCGAAATCGTACTTGCAGCTGTAATTTCTCGTAAGATAGCTCCATCTTTAAGTCGGATCGCCTGCTCGGCCTCCGATAAAAATTTGGAAAGAGGAGGGCAAGGGAAAATTTAACATCCATAACAAAAAATCTTGAAAAAAGCTCTATCGTATGCAAAAGAGTGGGGGGACATGGCCCCACCGGCCCCCCTTCGTCGGAGGCCCTGCTGAGTAGATGTGATTAAGTCAAAAATTTGCTACCAGGAAACAAATAATTTGCTTCACGATAAAGGAAGCGATGTTCAATGGAAGATGTCTGATACGAGAGACACTAAATGAAGATACAGCTATAGGGCCACATTTTGTGTACTGGGACATACTGAAGTACAAAATCGATTTTTGACACAATGTTTCGGTCATAGGGTTACGTGGGTAGGGTTTGGGTGAATTTTAACACAAAACCTCCCATAAAGGTGACGATAAATGAAATAAACGATATTATTTTTATAAATAGGCAATTTTGTATAAACATTGTCTCCTGTGTATCAGTTCGTTATCTAATATCAAGGCTAACAATCTCTTTATTATATAGACTTGATAGCACGCAAACAATATTATGCATTATGTTTCATATGTTATAGTTCACGCCAAGCATGAATAAATACATAAAATACATTAAATAAATGCCCCTAAAATATCTGAAAATTCAACAATCTTTTATGACGTTAAAATGGACCAGCAAAATATTTACCATGAATTTAAACAGGCTTCAATTTGCCTTAGGAGTTATTTCTTGTGGTCAGGGCTCATTAAAATTATTTTGTGCCTGCGAGCGGAAAGCTGAGTAAAAAATGCGCCTGCAAGTAAAATAGGGTGCAAAATATGGTCAGATATTGATAAATTGCGAATCTTCCTTTCTACTGAGTTCCACTCAGTACTGTTACACCAACTTAAATTAATGCCACCAAGTTTTTTCTTACCCAAATTTTCAAACGCTTTAAAATTCTTGTTTTTCACCAATGGAATTTCAAAAAAACAAACAACATTTTTCTTGATATTATTCTAGTTTTATTTTACATCCAATACATATCAATTTCCAGTTTATGGTTTTCCTTCGCCATCAACAAATAAGATATCTAGCACATCTTTACTTTTTTCCCTTTCGCCCTCTACATCCAAGAAATTTTAGATCCATATGGGCTGAAATAATGCTTCTGCTTGCTCTTTATAATTTCCACCAATTATTTCTTTCTAACGTTCCAGCGGCTCCAATTGGACACCTCAATTTTCAACTCACGCTCGATCAGAATTTCTAATCCCCCCTCATTGTGATTGCCGATCAAAAATATTGCGAACCGTAAACGCTTTCAGTAAATTTTCATCCATGAGTTTTAAGAAAAGAAATAAAAAAGACGTGTAAATAACACACGCAGGGCCTAAAATAAGCGTGGATCTGACTCACTTTGTGGAGTGGTTAATTAAAACTGTGGAGCTGTAATTGTAGAAAGTGTGAATTTTTAGATTGTGCATTTTCTTAAAAGTGCTGCATAAAATACTAATCAAAACGCCTAAGAAAGAATTAGGAACTTTTTCCAATGCAAAGTGAATACCCAATCCCAGCCTTGTGTAAATTGCTACAAGAAATGAAAAATGGACAATAAAAAGAATTAAGAAACTTCAAAACTGTAAGACTCAGTACATGTGGAGAAAAACCAATTGTGCTTTACAATAATGTCGTCAGTGGCGTCGCCAGGTCGAAAAAACTGGGGTGGACAAAAACAAGTTTTCTTGGCTACGCCGTTCAGACACTTGGAAAAGCCTTCGTGTACAGCTTCAACTTCACGACATCATCT